GAATTGGGTCAGGATCTCAAAGACTACACCATACAGCTCGTGTCTGATCTCGAGATGTTCTTCTCTGAAGCGGTGGTGGGCGAGTTCCATACTCGCCTGCAACTATTGGGCCAGTTGTGCAAGCAACTTGAGGTGCTGATCTTGGACTACCCAGACCTTGGCATTATCCACAACGCCGTGTTGAACTTCCTCTCTCTGTACCGCCGCTACGACAGCAAGGTCAGGGAGACTATCCAGAAAGGACGAACTTCGATCGAGAAGACCATGAAGGATGTGCTTCTCCTCGCCAGCTGGAAGGACACCAACATTGTCGCCCTGCGCGAGAGTGCTCTCAAGTCGCATCACAAGTTGTTCAGGCTCGTCAGGAAATTCCGGACTATACTCGGCCAGCCCATGAGGTTGGTCGTTGACCAGGGCATCCCAGATGAGTCTCATTCAAGCGGAAAGCTGGCTGGCGTAGCTCCCACTGTGCCTCTGGCAAACAAGGCAGCTGCTTCTGTGTGCCAGAACTTGATCCCTGGCTGGCTCGAGGATGCGCACACCAAGCGACTTTCCAACGTGGACAAGATTATCAGCATTATGGCCAAGGCCTCTCAGCTCCCCGAGTCCACGATACCCGCGGCAGATGTCGTTGACACATTCGTGTCGGATACCATGTCCGCCATGGCTGAATTGAAGAAGGAGACTCCAGCTTTCTTGACTGAAGAGAACAAGGAGGAAATCAAGCACCTCAAGACCAGGAAGGTTCGCCTCTTTGAGGAAACTGTCAAGGCTATTCGTACCATGGGCTTCACTAGGAACCTTAACGAGAACCATCTGCGTAGTCAGAAGCAATTGGCAGCTGTGATGGCAAAGTCACGCTACTTGCCAGTTAAGGGCGACCCGAGCTTGGCAGAGACAGAGTATTATTTCCACAAGGTCTTAGATCTGGCACCTCAGTTCAGAAATGCACTGCATGACCACAATGGCGATCTTATCAATGAGACCGTTCGAAGAAGCGTCGGTTACATGGAAGGCATTCTCCATGTGCTGATTCAACAGCGCCACTGTCTAGCCGAGAACAGCCAGGTGTTGGGTTTCTTGGACAACGCTCTGGCGGACGTACAAGCTCTTGTATCATCCAGCCAGTCTGACACCTTGAACACTCGACAGGGGGCAGCAGACCATGAGCAAGTTCTTAGCTGGATCATTCCCGTTCTCACTTTCGGCCTTCACGTGCTCGAGGTGCACGCCAAACTTGGCAAGCTCGACAACAGTGCTGTTCGAAGTGCACTCCAAGACTGGCTCTCTAGTTTCACCAAGCTCCAGTCGCGTTTCGACGCCTGCCAGAAGCTTCCTCAAGGATTCAACTCCCATGCTCAGCTGCAGCTGCGCGAGCAGCTTCAGGAGAAGCTCGATGACTTCGAAGCAGTGTTACAGCTACTTGAGTCTGAGCGTCCTGACCTCGGCTTCATCTTCCAGCAGCTTCAGCTCTGGACAACACTCGCGACTAACAACCAAGCGAGCACAACCGTTGTCGAAGACGCCAAGATTTTCTTCGATGAGAGTCTCAACCTTTCCAAGAAGGTCCTGGATGCAGTGCAAAAGTACCAAAAAGCCGCGGCGTCGATGCCAACGTCGACTGAAGAGGCATCATGGCTGCTCCAGTATAATGATACCGCCGTAGGCTTGCTCAAGTCTCTGCACATGGAAACTATCGTTGAAGGTATCAACGGGTCTATCCTACGCCTGAAGTCACTTAGGCTGGATGATCCTACTGTCAGGAACGCTGCGTTCTCACTCCTCTCCGTTACCCTCCCGGTTCTGCAACAATACGCCAACACATGCCACAAGACGATCACAGACCTCGTCAACCTGCATCGGGCCAATTCAAAAATGGCTCTCAATCTCGGCAAGGCATTCGTTGAGATTGCGTCTCGTGGGTTCTGCACTCCGCAAGAGAAGTCTAACGAGACCTCGGGAGGTGAGGGCAAGTTGGAAAGCGGCACCGGACTCGGTGATGGCGAAGGCGCGGAAGATATCAGCAAAGATATTCAGCCCGACGAGGACCTTACGGAATTGGCGCAGGAGCCCAATAAGGAGAAGGACGGCGAAATGGAAGACGAGGAAGATGCTGTCGACATGGGCACAGAAGAAATGGAGGGCGAGATGGGAAGCGCAGCTGGGGACGACGAGGACGATCAAGGCGACAAGAAGGGTGGCGAGGATGAGGAGGAGGAAGACGACATGGACGAAGAAACTGGAGACGTGGATGACCTTGACCCAACCGCAGTCGATGAAAAGATGTGGGACGGAGATGGAGATGATGCAGACAAGGACCAGAAGGGAGACGAGGCCAAGGGTCAGAAGCAGGAGGAAGAGCAGGCTGCCACTGATGAGAAGTCCGAAAGTAAAGACGTCAAGCCCCAAGAAGAGCCCGAGGAAGGGAATCCCGAGCCGGACGAAGAGGCCGGTCCAGAGGAAGAGGCTGGCCCGGAGGACGACGACAACGGCAAGGCACAGGAGGAGCTCAACCGGCAAGATCAGAACGTCGACGAAAACGAGGCCTTGGCCTTGCCTGAGGATATGGACATCGACGCCAATGAAGATGACGAATCTGTCATCTCGGACGACGATTTGGACAAATTATCAGACGTGCAGCAAGACGAAGTCGAAGAGGAGGCCAAGAAGGAGGGAGAGGCTGAGGATGTTGACGAAGGGGAGGGCGAGCAAGGCGACATGAACCAGGATGACGTGGAGAAGGAGATCGACCCAGAAAATCCAGACGAGGATATGACGGGCGACAATACCGAAATGGAGGACAAGGAACCGGAAGCTGAGGAACCAGGCGTCGATGATGCCGGGGAAAAGGACGAAGAAAAACCGCCCTTGAACCCCGACGACGACGCCCACGCCGATCCGGACAACGCCGCCCCGAGCGACGTCAAGAGCGGCGCTGGACAGGACCAGAACAACATGGATCAGGGTCAAGACGACGAGAAGTCTCAAGCCAACGCAGCACAACGCGAGAACGGCGAGATGGGCCAAAATGCCGACGATAAAGAAACAGCCGCTGGCAACGAGGGCGCCATGTCACGACAGGAAGAGGACCAAAACCGCTCCGACGACGCCAACCAAGAAGGCGAATCCTCTCAGGCGCAGCCCTTCAAGAAGCTTGGCGACGCTCTGGAGCGATGGTATAAGAATCACCAGGACATCAAGGAATCCATGGACAACCAGGAGCCCCAACAAAAGCAGGACGCGGATATGGCGCAGAAGGAGTTCCAGCACTTACAGAACGACGACGACGCCCCCGACGCTCAAGCACTCGGCACCGCAGCCGAGGATGAGGTCCAGCCAATCGACGAGTCTATGGCCATCGACGAGGAGCGGCAAGATGATCAGAGCCGCACTATGCCTCAGCATGACAGTGAGGACAAGATGGATGTCGACGAGGATCTGGACGCCGCAGAACAAGATAATGCTAAAGACACTGACATGCCTGAGCAAGACGAGTCTCGCACGGGTGTCGCCACTAGACGCGGTGCCTTCGATCGCGAGCGTTCCGAGTCCCCCGCAAGGGAGGTGCAGCCGGAAGAGGAGGAGGATGACGACGAAGAAGTCGAAGAGGCTTCTGTTCGCCTCGACGACACGCATCTCAGTGACTCGGAACGGCCTCTCAGAGACTACCACGAAGCCCTCGAGTCCTGGACCACCTTCCAGACAAAGACCCACCCTCTCTCCCTGGCATTGACCTCACAGCTCCGCCTCATCCTGACCCCGTCGCAATCGACCAAGCTGTCCGGATCCTACCGCACCGGAAAACGGCTCAACATCAAGAAGATCATCCCGTACATCGCCTCATCGTACAAGCGCGACAAGATCTGGATGCGCCGCGCCATTCCCACCAAGCGTACTTACCAGATCCTGCTCTGCGTCGACGACTCGCAGTCCATGGGCAACACGAGCGCCGGCACGATGGCGCTCGAGAGTCTGGTCATGGTGTCCCGCGCGCTCGCCATGCTCGAGGTCGGCCAGGTCGGCGTCCTGGGCTTCGGCAGCGAGGTCTTCACCGCGCATGAGCTCACGGCACCGCTGGTCAGCTCGCACGACGCGGGCGCCAAGGTTCTGCAGAAGTTCGCCTTCGACCAGGCGCACACCGACGTCGCGCTCCTGGTGCAGCGGACCATCGACCACTTCCGGCTGGCGCGCAATACGGCGGCGGGCCGGTCCGGCGGCGAGGACCTCTGGCAGCTCGCGCTCATCCTGTCGGACGGTATCACGCCTTCGGCCCTGCACGAGCGCATCCGCAGGCTGCTCCGCGAGGCGCTCGAGGAGCGCATCATGATCGTCTTCATCATCATGGACGACTCGGGCTCCAAGAAGGGCGACAGCGTCCTGGAGCTGAGGCAGTCCAAGTTTGTCAAGCAGCCCGACGGGTCCAGCGAGGTCGTCATCGAGCAGTACCTGGACACGTTCCCATTCCAGTACTACCTCATCGTACACAACCTCGAGGAGCTCCCCGGGGCACTGGCAGGGTTGTTGAGGACCTGGTTCGCGGAGGTTAATTCTTAGTCTAGTGCCTCCGTTGCTTTGATATTCTCTTCCTTGTTATCCGGAGTGCATTATAGGTGGTGTTTTCGGAGTCAATTATGCTTTATCGAATTTGGCGTTCGGATGGAAAAGAATATCAGAGATAGATTCGTTCATACCAATCGATGTTTGATCCGCTCAGAGACATGTAGCAATTCCCCAATGAGTGGCAGCCGTTTGTCCACATGAAATCAATAGTAGCGGCGGCAGGAGGAGGACGTCAAGGTTATCGGTGACAGTAATGTATTGTCGTCCAGTCTTTGCAGCTGAGCGCGATCGTGTTCGAGGGTCGTCACTCGTCCTCTTAGGCCTATCAGTGTCCAACTACCTCCCAAGGCAACTGGGGGCATTAAGGGCGGACCAATGGAAGGGAGAGAAAAAGAGAGAAAAGTGAAAAAAAGGAAGAGAGAAAAAGGAGCAAAAGGAAATGCGCCAGCCCGGAGTCGAACCGGGGGCCCATCGAACTTGCTAATGGCAACGATGGATTTTACCGCTAAACCACTGGCGCTGTTTAACTGTTTAACTGTTTGATGAAAAGTGGTACTCAGTACTCCTTATAACGAATGAGACAAGAGGCGCAGGGGAGGAAGAGCGTTCAGAGGTGATTCAATCATTCGACATTCCTCTCCCATCGTCACCCATAGCACTTCGCCATTGAACTTCGATTCAGTTGCTCGGCCGACACCCTGCTACTATGGTGTAATTAATCACATGGAGAGCCAATGCTGTGGCTGAAGTTTGTTTTGAATGATTCGAGATATCGTGCAAAGATCTACCCAGAGTAGGTGGGCAGGGAAATAGCAAGTAAGAACAACCCTTTTTGGGCCATTACGTTGGTACTTCAAGCCTTGGAACGCTTACATGCCCGCTCATCACTGTCCCGTTCCTGGTCCTCGGTACGGATGCGCTTATTGGCACGCTCATCCCCACGGCTGTCCTGGTCTCTGGCATACCGAGGAATGAACATCTTTCCAGTCTCGGCCAAGGTCTTCAGGACTTGCTTCTGCACATCCCTCGAACTGACCTTGTTCCTTGGCCTCAATCGCCGCTCTAGGCCCTGATATGGAGGCACCATGGAGATGTCCCTCACCCGAGAGCGCTTCCTCTTGGATTTCTTGTCGTCCATGCTCTTCTTGCGCTCCTCTGTGCGGCGAGTAGCATGCAAGCCTGGTCCGTTCTCCTTGGAAGTGAAGTAGGGTGAGCCATTAGTATTTAGCTGACGCAGATCAGGGAGCTGCTTGACGACCTTCTCTAGCACCTCTCGACGATTCCAATCGGCTGTCGTCTCCGCCTCTCGTTGCAGAAACAGTTTGAGATCCTCATCTGGCTTACAGAGCCAGGGGTGCGTCACAGCCTCCGCCGCTGTCATCCTCTTCTTCGGGTTATGGTGGAAACAACGACGGATGAAGTCTTTGGCGTCCTCGCAGATTTTCTCTGTGCGTATCTCGGAGAGTTCCTCAAAGATCATCTTGAGCTGGTGAGCTGGCTCCTTCATCTCGCATGTAGGTCGTCTGGCCGTGTCGGCAGCCCCCAGGGCTTTGACCTTCGAGTCTCCAGCAAGTAGCTGTGTCGCAAGCACGCCAATGCTCCAGATGTCGACAGGTGCGCCGTGTTGGTTACGCGGCCTGAGCATCTCACTACAAAGATTTAGTACGGTCCTTTCTGCCAGCAGAGAAGAGGAACTCACGGAGCCTGCCATCCTGCAGTGCCCACGATGCTGTTCATCCGGTCGTGGCCAACCAAACCCAAGTGACCGAAGTCAGTCACCACAAGACGATGCCCTGGCCTTGGGCAAATGGCGCATAGGATGTTCTCAAGCTTCAGGTCCCTATGGACAACTCCTTTCTCGTGCATGTAGGCAACGGCATGTACGACTTGACGGACCATCCATCTGACATCGCTCTCCGTGAAGTGACGGACGCGCACCATGAGCGAGAACAGATCACCACCGGTAGCCAGGTCCTCGAAGACGTACAAGGTGGAGCGGCTTTTGTAAGCTCCTCGAAAAGCAGCGATGTTCGGCTGGACCATGTCAGCCAGGTCTCGATTGGAAGCAGTCCAAGCAATACTCACATGCTCCATCTGGCACCTGACAGATGTCTCCTGCATCAGTCTTCGAATTGAGTCTTTCTGGCCTGCCTTTTCAGTACTGTAGAGATCGTAGACTTTGCAAGCAAGTTGCTCTCCCGTCTTGCGATCGATGGCGAGGTGGACCCGTGCCGAAGCACCGTTTCCGATGGTTCGGTCCGTAATTGTGAATCGATCGCCGAAGACCTGTTTTGTATCAATTGTTGTCCGTTGTCTCGTCAGGGAGGGGAAGTGGGCAACACACCTTGACTTCCTCTGACTGGAAACTGCCAAGTGTCTCCCTTGGAGTCATGGTCTGGATGAAATGGCACGTAACATTTGGAGGGATGGTGATGGTGTCGCCATTCTGCAGCAGCCTTGCAGGTGTGATTGAACCGCCGCCTTTGCTGATGGGCTCGCCGTTGACAAGGGTTCCGTTGTTGGACTGGCGGTCTCTCACGTAGACCATGGCAGGGTGGTGAGCTGTATCGTCGAAGATAACGGAGTAGAACTCAATGTGGTTGCGAGAGACAGCCAAGTCGTTAATGATTAAGTCACTACCAGATGTTAGGCTAGAGCCGGGAGTCGAGTTTGGGGCTCGACTTACTTATTGTCGGGATCGCGACCAATTTTGAATATCGTATCTGCGTAGAGTCTGATGACATCTATGAATTTCCGTGTCAGAAGCAGTAGAAGAGTAACGAGATATCGTCGGGGTCTAGTTTCGACTCACGGGATTGAGAAGGGCCACCCTGGGTGTCTTTGATCTCGACCTCGATCGCAGCGACAACTTCGCCTAGGTCGACCTGATCAACATCATTGGGTGCCATATTGACTCGATATGCTTCTCCTCCAGGGAGTATGTTTTTCCAGATGCTCGACTCAAAAAGAGACGATGTATGTGCTTCAATTGATAGGAAGGCTCTGACCGGCAGAGACAAATCAGACTGATTGCTGTGTTTGATGCGTGGAAACTAAAGAAGGCGAGGAAGACAAGGTCGATACTGAGACCGAGAACAAAGCTGAATATGGCGTAGGAGGATTCGAGGCGAGTTGATGTTGGGGACGGAGTGAGTAAAGATGAGGAGGGGTGGTATCAAATATGGACAAGTAACGTCTAGCCAGCCCCCATAACCAGACACAATAACTCTTACGATCATGGGAAATAGCTTATTATGAGAATGAAATATTTACAACACCCGTTCCAAAGGCTTCAAAGTTCAGCCAAATATTACCGGCGGGCCCAACGCACGGGCAGGCGTTGCTCGAAGATGGGATGGACGACCGGTTCTACTGCGCCTTCCCTGTATACAATACGGACGGCACAATACAACACGATGTACCTTTTTGCATTCATCTGAAATACCTAGCTCTCTCCCAGAAAGTCCTGAGCAGATAGTAGCACCAGATGCCAGTGGCAACCTGGCAAATATGCTAAGCAAAATACCCAAAAAGATGCTTGTGACATTGCTGGTAGAAGGAGCCCGGAGCTTTGACTACGCCTACGCATGGTCACGCCCAGGAACACTCGGGAGGCATTATGGTGCCAAACACATGGGAAGCTCCAAATTATTCTTCTGAGGATCAGAGATAAATCCTAGAGAAAAGGAATTTGAAGATGCCTGAGAAAGATGTATCATCAAGAAGGAGTGACATGGTATTGAGCAACGATATGTTGTTATAACCCTAACCCTTATTACACCTCATCGGTTTGCCGGGGCCCCGGGGGGGGGGGGGGGTTGAAGACCCCTGAGCCCCTGAGCAGGGTACGTACACACCTAGACAGCTACCTAGGTACCTAGGTAGAGAGCTCACCGTCGAATTACGTCAGACCCCTTCCCTGCATTGCACCCCCCGCCCCCCGCCCCCCGTCATTGCGGTATGCCAGCCCGTGGCTATCATTACCTCATCGAGGAGACCTATAAACTCTCCAGTTGTTCTTAAGCGGTATTCTACATCCAATCAAAATATTGAATAATACATAAACCACAACAGCTTAAACTCTTCACAATGGCAACAATAGCACTCTGCCGCGGCGCCCTGCGCCGATCTGTAGCCCCCGTCACCCTGGGCCTATCGACGGGCCTCTTCCTCGCCAACCGCCAACGGCCGATGCGCCTCGACGCCGCGCCGGCTACATCACGATCTCTTTCGCCTGCAACGGAACGCACCGTGGCCGCGTCGGAGGAATGGCTGCGACCTGAGATTATCAAGCAGCTCTCGGGGGGCAGTCTTGCAGGTACGATGTTGTCATGCGACGTGGTGACCTTGCGAGAGGTTATGACGGAAGTGAGATGAGCTGGTAGTCTAACATCGTTGCAGGTTTCTTGACCGGTCTCGTCGTCAGTGTCTTCTCAAAGACGTTGGTTCTGCTCGGGGGAGTGGCAATCGTGGCAATCCAGGTGAGCTATCAGATAGACTCCCATGCCCTTTTCAAGGCTGCAGTTGTTGACCGGCTCGCAGGTGGCTTCTCGTTGGGGCATTGACATCCTGGGCATACTCAAGATTCGGGAGCGTATAGGGACATCAAAGGTCCTGGCGTCCCTAAACAAGAATCCAACCTTCAAGTTGGCCTTCGGCACGACTTTTGCGCTTGCCGCATTTATGCAGTTCTAGACCACGCCATACACATTTACGCTAATGATGGGAATCCTCTATCTCTCGTGTCCCGAGCCCATGTGCTATGCGATCATGCTTGTCCCCTTCACTCCACCCCTACAAGGGTGCCGTCTCCCTCTTCAACCATGCCGTGGTGAGCTCATCATCCTTGAAAAAGTCCTTCGTCTTCTCATAGATCTCCTTGTGGTGGTCGTTCAACCACTTCTTCTCATCCGCCGTAAGGAGATTGACATCGATCAGGTTGCGGCAGTAAGGTGTCATAGTGACATGCTCGAAACCGAGGAAAGGCCTGTCGCCGAATCGGTGCGGCGTCTTCACCTCCCTCACAATTGCTACGTTTTCTATCCGGATCCCGAATAGCCCGTCTTCGTAGTAGCCCGGCTCGATCGAGGTCACATTTCCAGCAGCCATGTACACTTCCGAGTATTGCTTTCTCGTGCCTATACCTATGGGGCCTTCGTGTACGTTCAGGAAGGAACCAACGCCATGGCCAGTGCCATGTCGGTAGTCCAATCCTTCTTTCTGCAAAGATTGGGTTAGCTGCATGGCATTGCGAAAGGGAGGGATGACCTACCCAAAGGAACTGCCTGGCCAAGCAATCCAGGGCGAAACCTGTGACGCCCTTGGGGAAGACGGCCGAATCCAGGGCGATGTTGCCCTGGAGTACTAGGGTATACGTCCGCTTTTCCTTCTCCGTCGGCTTGCCGAAATGGAGCGTCCGTGTCGTGTCAGTGGTACCGTCAAGATACTGTGCTCCAGAATCGCAGAGGTAGATTGCGTTAGGGTCGATAACTGAGCAGTTGCCCTTCTCGGGCTGGTAAT